GCAGAGTGAGGTTGATTTCACCTAGAATTTGCAAATAAGGTCTGGCTGACCTCTGCCTGGGATTTACAAGGGAGGGCCGGACTTTGGATTTAGAATTTATAGAAAACCAACAGGAGGCATTTTCTGCATTGTGAGATATCAACATAGACATTTTTAATTCCTCTTTTGAGAGTGTGGCTTTTTGACCTTTTCACATCTTTTTCATTAACTTGCCATAGTTATGTGAGAGGCTCCAGGAGTAAATAGAATCTGATGGCAGAATCTGTAAGTGTAAACAAGCATCTTAAGGCCACAAAGTGTCCAGAGCCACGACCACAACTATACCTACCTGTAAAATGTGATACTGGAGTAAAATATTCTTGTCCTTCTACTTACCCAACAGCTAGCAAATCAGGACAGCTAGCAAATCAGGATGGATGACCCAGGTTCTGGAGTTCAACCAAGGCAGTTCCATTTTTTATTTAGAATCATCCTGAGTCTTCTCTGCCTGGCTTATCAGTGGACCATCAGCCCCAGGTCACTGGGAACCCTCTCACAATCACCTGTGAATCTTTGAGATATTTGAGAATGTCCAGAACAGAATTGTGTCAGGCTGACAAGAGTGATTAATTCTGCTTCTGTCCCAGTGTGAGAGAAATGAGTCATTCTGTGTTTGTTTTGCCTCTTACACAAGAAGTATCTTTGATTGGTACCCAGATGAGAGTTTTTCCAGTTCCCTGGTACTTGGGTAAAAAATCAGGAGGTCTGGAGGCTCAAACAGATAAACTAATTGCTTCCATTTCATATAGTCATTAAAAAAAATAGATGAAGCAGGCCAGGTGCAGTGGCTCCTACCTGTAACCCCTGCACTTTGGGAAGCCAAGATGGGTGGATCATCTGAGATCAGGAGTTTGAGACCAGCCTGGCCAACATGGTGAAATCCTATCTCTACTAAAAATACCAAAAGTAGCTGGGTGTGGTGGCTCATGCCTGTAGGCTTGGCTACTTGCAAGGCTGAGGCAGGAGAATCTCTTGAACCTGGGAAGTGGAGGCTGCAGTAAGCCGAGATCCCATCTTTGCACTCCAGCCTGGGCAACAAAGTGAGACTTCATCTCAAAAAACAGAAGAAGAAAAGAAAAATAGATGAAGCAGTCATGGTTCCTACCATCCTGGCAGTTTTAGCCTAGACTAGCAACTGGAAATATGGTTGAAATATACATCAGATGGTGGGTACAGTAAATAGACGTGTGCAAAAAATTGGGGCTTTATTTGGGCCACTTTCTTTATACTGTGGCTTCTGATGTCTACACCTGAACTTAGAAGAGTCATCATTATTATTTGTATTTATTTTAGCCTGCTAAGAATACTTTTCTTTTTTTTTATTTGAGACAGAGTCTCGCTCTGTCGCCCAGGCTGGAGTCCAGTGGCGCAATCTCGGCTCACGGCAAGCTCCTCCTCCCGGGTTCATGCTGTTCGCCTGCCTCAGCTTTCTGAGTCACCGGGACCACAGGCGCCTGCCACCACGCCCAGCTAATTTTTTTTTTTTTTTTGTATTTTTAGTAGAGACAGGTTTCACCGTGTTAGTCAGGATGGTCTCGATTTCCTGACCTTGTGATCCACCCACCTCAGCCTCCCAAAGTGCTGGGATTCTAGGCGTGAGCCACCGCACCTGACCAGAATACTTACTTTTCTTCTAAAAAAATTATTCTAGATAACCTTAAGGGATTTTTAAAAATTGCTTATTAGCATATAATATAAAATTTGCAGGGCAGTGGCAAAAAAGATTAAAATTATACAAACTCAGACTTAGGTTTACTTAAGTAAGCTTTAAAAAAATGAACTGACAATACCCCCCAGTGGCATAGATAACTTAATTGTACATCGGCTGTACACTCTGCCCCAGCCCTGTTCATATTCACCCTTTTTAGAGTCCTTATTTATGTTTGGCTCTACCCTGGCGTCTTGCCTCACAGAACTGATTAGAAGAGATCAGAGTTTTGGGTCATGAATCCTGTTGCCTTTTTAGAGCTGCTGCTCAACATTTTCTGCAACCCAACAGATAAATGGGAAATATAAAGTATGTATTATAGGATCTTACTTTTCAAATTTTTTATTAAAACCAGTGCTTGCAGAAACATTATTTAGCAACTTGTTTTCTGTTCCTGCAGATCTAGTAGTTGATTCACAAGTCCCAAGAAAGTAAGTATAAACACAATAAAAATTTATCTAAATTGCATTAAACTCTTTCCATCTGTATCTCTTTCATCTGTCTGTATTTACCTTTTATTCTTTGCATTTTTTGAAAAAAATGACAGATCAACAGAAATAGAAATAAAAATGCTGGGTCCTTTAAAGCCTTGGAATTATTGAACACGTAGTATTGACTCACAGGGTGTTATTAGGATTAAACCACATAATGTGCTATCACAGTGCTCTGTAACATCTTATTGAGCACATAGTACCTGCTTAATAAACATTGCATTAGTACATGTGCACATGTTGTTTTCCAAATGCAGACTTACTCAGAAATTGCTACCTTCTGTTTTCTCTGTAAACTTTAGAGTCAGCAAAGAGTATAATACTTTAGAATGAAGAATGATTGTCTTCATTTGTACCAGAAGTATTTGTGTTGTGACAAGAGTGCTGGGTTATCAGCCCAGGCTTCTAATGAGTGTCACCTGGCCATTTTGCAGAACTCTCTTTACTTGTGCCCTGTCCATGGATTCTGTTTATTGTTCTGGTGGAAGCATCCATGTTATTTTAATTAAGTGGTTCATGTGACTCTAAGGTGAGGTCAGAATCAAGTATGAGGAATTCAAAATACATTCATGAGAGTTAAGTTCCATCTTTGCATTAAAGGGTGGTTCAAGAACCCGTTCTGTTTGGATTTGGTAGGGACAGGACAACGTGGCCCATATTTCCAGTACTGTAGTGGAAATTGCTGGTGCCTGTGTCAGGGGATGGCTCCTGAGGACAAAATAAAAGTGTATTTTTATCTCTGTGGAGCTACTCATTGTTTCTCAATCTCTTCTCCTATAAAGGACAGAAATGGGTGGAGTTTCTCTGTCTTGGTTCTTCTGCCTGTGGATGTGGTGACAGCAGGTAGACCTGTGGTGCTGACACTTTTAAAGGCATGTTCTCAAGATGCAGGTATAATTTGCCCAGAGAATTTTATCTGAGAAATAATCCTAGAGAAGGAAGAGAAAGAGGAAAAAATGGCCTTTTTAAATTTTCAGCTAAATATGTCTCAGATCAAGATCTGTGTCCACTCTGCTTCCTCCAGGAAACATAAGTTTGGTACTTGCAAACCTGTACTTCTCTACTTGTGTTTTTCCTCCCTAATGAGTTTGTCTTAACTACTTTAAAAAATTCTTACAATAATCAAAGTCTCTGAAAAATATATTTTTCTATATACCAGAGCCTTCTCTACATTATGGCTTCTTATATGCCATGCAGAAATCTCACTATGAATTTATAATCTGCAATATTAAAAATGTCCCTTTGTGGCTGTTGAACATGGGAAGGTGTAGATACTCCAGATTCCTGTTGGGGAAAACCTGGGGTTTTTAGTGAAGACAGAGAACATGTAATGTTGAGGTTTCATCTGTGTTCTTTATTATGTCTATGCAGTACAGGATTAAGAAAATACCCATTGAAGCAGTATGGTATTTATTACCCAGAAAATTATAAAAAATTTGATAGGAGATAACTGCTCTTTACAGTGCTAAAGAAAGGCTATTTAAAATCACTATTAAAAGTTACAGAACATGGGAAATACCTGTATCTTGAACTTTCCATGAAACTAATGTTTCCTTATGGTGAAATTCACACTATAATTTACCTTTCAGGGGGCAGTATCTCAGCAGCAATGCTGTGTCGTTCTGGGTGCATCAGGACATTATAAAAGTTTGTTCTAGTGTAGTTGATGTTAATAAATCACTTAGTTGATAAGCTCTCTGATACATTTTTTACTATAGAATTAATTATTTTTCTCTTCATTGTTAAGTATCTTTACGTAGCTGATGTGAACAAACCACCACATTTAATCTGGCAGCTGCCCTCCTTTCTTAGGTTTCCTTTGCATTTGTCTGTTTTTGGAAAATGAAGGCTCTCATCTTTATTTACAAACCAGAAAAACACAGGGTCATTCAATTACTGGATATTTGACAAAATAGTCTTTTTGGGCCAAAAACATTGGCATACTGATGAGCTTGTTAAAAATTCAGCAACTCAGACTTTATCCCTGATCTTCTGAAAAAAAAAAAAAAATCTGCATTAACAGGATCTCCAGCTTATTGTACACATTAAAATTTGAGTGATAGCTTCTAACTCAACATGTCTATTCCATCTGAATAATATACAAAAGTATGTCCATCTGAAAAATACACACAATTAATTCTTTTTTTTTTTTTTTTGAGATAGAGTTTCACTCTTGTTGTCCAGGCTGGAGGGCAATGGTGCGATCTCAGCTCACCGCAACCTCTGCCTCCTGGATTCAAGTGATTTTCCTGCCTCAGCCTCCCAAGTAGCTAGAATTACAAGCACAAAGCACCATGCCCAGCTAATTTTGTGTTTTTAGTAGGGACGGAGTTTCTCCATGTTGGTCAGATGGTCTCAAACTCCCGACCTCAGGTGATCTGCCCGCCTCTGCCTCCCAAAGTGCTGGGATTACAGGCATGAGCTACCATGCCCGGCACACAATTAATTCTGTATGATGTAAAAGTAGCACTCAAAATTGTACATGTTAGTGTTTATGCCCTCAATTTTATACTTTGTTGTCCAGAAAAATACTATATATACACTGGTGTTATGGATCTTATAACACTTTGTTTTCTCAGAGTTAGAGAATACATTAGAGAATATTTCTAGTTGAAAACTATTTTATTGAATTATTTCAGTCACTCTTAGAAGTCAGAACCAGCTCTGTTTACTCTCTCCATTTTACGTTGAGTCAAATTAAAAATTATGCCCATGACCACTTGGTAAATAAGTGTGTTTGTGTGTGTTTTCCAGGGATCATTGACATTTCGGGATGTGGCCATAGAATTCTCTCTGGAGGAGTGGCAATGCCTGGACACTGCACAGCAGAATTTATATAGGAATGTGATGTTAGAGAACTACAGAAACCTGGTCTTCCTGGGTGAGAATAACTTTAATACGCAATTCCTAGTATGCGCTATAGGTTTCATTTTGCTGCGGACTTTATTGGCCTGAACAAAGGAGGTTGAATGCAGGAATAAAGACAAAGACGGCACCAGGGGACTCCTTGCTTCTAGTGAACAAGGGCCGTGAACTTCTATAGCTCTTCATATTTATTGAGTAAAGGAGATAGGGAGAAGGGGGAGGTTGTGGTCAGCTGCTTGACTTAGTGACTGTATTCTTTAAACAGTACTCTCCAGATGTTCCAGTAGTTAACCTCAAGGAGCATGGCACCAGGGAGTGACTGTCCTCCGTGTACCTTCTGGCGGCATGAGCAGAAGCAAGTTTGCCCACATTCTGCATTCATGATAAACAATTTGCCATTTGATTCATTCAAGTCCAGTGGAATGCTGAGTTGGTCACAGCCCTCAGGCTTTCGGCTCCCAACAGCATTGCCCCTTTTTTTTTTTTTTTTTTTTTTTTGAGACGGAGTCTGGCTCTGTCGCCCAGCCTGGAGTGCAGTGGACGGATCTCAGCTCACTGCAAGCTCCGCCTCCCGGGTTCACACCATTCTCCTGCCTCAGCCTCCCGAGTAGCTGGGACTACAGGCACCGCCACCTCGCCTGGCTAATTTTTTGTATTTTTTTAGTAGAGATGGGGTTTCACCGGGTTAGCCAGGATGGTCTCGATCTCCTGACCTCGTGATCCGCCCGTCTTGGCCTCCCAAAGTGCTGAGATTACAGGCTTGAGCCACCGCACCCGGCCAGCATTGCTCTTTTATATAATTTCTTTTTGGTAATTTATGCTTCAGATTTCTGTTTTCAAGAAAATCATAGGGAGTTTTCCATAGAGAAAAAAATTTCAAGATGTTTCATCTTGACCTGAACTTACCACATTCTTGAGCTCCTCTCTGTCCTTCACTTTAGATTAATGGTAATTTCAAAATTTTACTGGCATAAAATATTATTGCTCACACTTTAAAATCTAATTACCACCACCAATTTTTAATTCAGTAGTACCAGGTGATAAAAGTAAGAACCCACAAAATTAGAGTATTTTCTAAATATTTAGAAATTTCTGTTGTAATTTAGTATTTTGGGATAAATGTATTAGAATATTGTATTAAATCCTCTTTACTGAGCACATAATTAAGTTGTTAATTGGAGAATATGAGCAAGAGGCATGTTACTTATTTTTAATAAAACAGGTATTGCTGTCCCTAAGCCAGACCTGATCATTTTTCTGGAGCAAGGAAAAGAGCCCTGGAATATGAAGAGACATGAGATGGCGGAAGAACCCCCAGGTAGGTGAGAGTGAATACAACAGACAACGTGGATGACAGGTCCAAAGTCAAGAAGAAAGCAAGTCCTTAAAGTGATATGGGAAGCAGTGTTCCAAAAGAAATAGTTTCTGGAAAGCCTAATTTTTATTTTTATTTTTATTTTTAAATTTTCTCTCACACAGGGGCATCTTCTCTCTTTTGCTTTTAAAATATCTAAGAATTCTTCTTTCCCTTCAGTAATCTTCCTTCAAGTTTACAGTGACAGCCAAAGTACTGTTCATGGCATACAAGAGAGTGTGCAATCTGAGTTTTTTCGTTTTTGTTTTTGTGGACACACAGATGTTTGCATAATTTTAAGACACTCCACGTTAGACTATCTTTTAAGTTCTCTTTTTCCATCATCTCTGAAATGTGTGAGAGTAGTGATTTCTGTATTATTGGGTGTTTTTTTGGTTCATTTTTCTACACATTTCATCCTGTTTTTATTATAGTCTTAAAATATAGTTTGAAATTATAAAGTATGATGTCCTTCTGCTTTTTTCTTTTTCTTCAAGATCGCTTTGGCTATTCACAGTTTCTTGTAGTTTCATGTAAATTTTATGATTGTATTTTTCATTACTATGAAAAAAAACCACTGGAATATTGATAGAAAGTTTATTGAATCTAGAGATCACTTTGGATAATATGGTGTTTTAGCGTTTATTCTTTGAATCGATAGAGAAAATGTATTTAAATTTATTTGTGTTCTCTTATTTTTCATTGATAAATCTTTCGCTTGAAAAGTTTTTCAGTTCCTCGATTAAATTTGTCCTCAGATATTTATTATTTTAGTGCTATTTTAAATAAGATTGTTTTCTTCCTCTATTTTATCAGATAGTTTAAGTGTATGGAATCATAACTTGTATGTTAATTTTATATTTTGCTAATTTACTGAGTGTATTTATTAGTTTTAAAAGGTTTTAATGTACTGTTTATGGTTTTTTTATAGAGAACATTGCATGATCTACAAGCAGCAATGTTTTACTTGTCTTCAATTTCAATGACTTTAAAAATTTTTTGACTAATTTTTCTTCCACATACATCAAGTGCTGTGTTAAAATAGAAGCTTTGACGATGGGCACAATATACTTTTGCGTTGGTGTCTCAATTTGAAGGAGCAAACACCTCAAAGTTTTGATAAACTGGTTTCAGAGGGTAAAAATCTTCCTTTCTTGGGCCCCCAGGGTGACAGAATGCCCTCTGGGTTTGTAGTAGAGCGGGGTTGTAGCTTGGTCACAAGGCTGCTGGCTCTGCACTAGGGTCAGCTTATCATAAAGGACTTGGGTAGTTGTAATTCCCATTTTACTTTTGGACACAGTAAATATCCTTCAGGACTTTGCTCAGTAGGATAGATGCTAGGGCAGGTTTCTGCAGTCAGGTCTGCATATGGTGGGCTTTATATTATTAGCATGTGGATTAGTATGGCTTGTACTGAGTACCAGAGAGGATTTCTGAGGTCACTGTGGGTTTCTACATAGGCAGAACTGGCGATGAACTGTGGCTTAGGAAGCTGGAACTGAGTCATGGAACTGTTATTGGGACCAAGGTCTGCAGGCCTGCCAGCTTGGCTCTAAATGGGTATCTCTCCAGGCTTCTGGAAGACCAAGACCTCTCACAGACTGTGGCTGGGAGAAGTTTGGGATGCTTACAGTTCAAAATTCTCAGTGGGATGGAGTTGGGTGGGACATTTTCTGGTCTGTAGTCAAGAGCAGGGGTCCTGTAGTTTGCCACCTAAATGAAAGCTTGCCTTCTGAAAAGGGTGCTCCTCAATCTTGGGCTCAGCAAAGTTTCACAATTCCCTCCCTGGATCTCAAAGCTCTCTTAAAGGCACTTATTTCCGAGATGGGGTCTCACTGCATAACCCAGGTTGGTCGTAATATTTTGGCCTGAAGCAATTCTCCAACCTTACTGTACCATGTAGCTGTCATTACAGGTACTAACCATGATGCCTGGTTCTCTCATTAAGACATTTTTGTCATGGATGACTGACAAACTTTCTTGCTGTTGGGGGTTAAGCAAATAGGGCACCTTTTTCTTTTTATCTGCTTCTAAGAGTGTAAATGCTTTATATCTGTCTATCTCTTACAATCTTTGTCTTTTTGTGGCTGACATTTCATTTTGCATAACGTTATCAAGATTTATCTTTATAATTGGTAGACTGTTTTCTGCTTTTTGAAAACTGAGTGATATTCCAGTATTTTTGTATTTCAAATTGTATTTACTGAATGATTTGGTGATAGAAATTTGCATTGCCTTTACCTGTTAGCTTACAGTAATAATTATTGCTATGTAAATGACTCCTCATATGACCATACATGTTAAAGTATATATATATGGGTTGCATTCTATTTCATTAGTTTAATTTTCATCCTTATACCAGATTGTTTTAATTCTGTAACTTTGTAATGTCTTTTGAAATCAGGAACTTTAATGCCTGCAACATTCCTTTATTATTATTATTATTTTAAGATTGATGGGAACTTTATTGCCTTTGGGGTTCGATATACTTTTGGGGTTGCTGTTTCTGTTTCTTCAAAAATACAATGAGAAATTTGAAAAACATTTCATTAAATTTGTAGATTACATTGACCAGGATTGACCAGGATGAACATCTTTATAATACTAACTATTACAACCTTTACATAAGAGCGTGCTCGAGTGTTTTGTTAAATTCCTATGTGTGTGTGTATATATATATATATGGTTTTTTTTTTTTTTTTGAGACGGAGTCTTGCTCTATCTCCAGGCTGGAGTGCAGTGGCACGATCTCGGCTCACTGCAACCTCTGCCTCCTGGGTTCAAGCGATTCCTTTGCCTCAGCCTCCTGAGTAGCTGGGACTACAGATGTGTGCCACCAAGCCTGGCTAGTTTTTCACATTTTAGTAGAGACAGGGTTTCACTATGTTGGCCAGAATGGTCTTGATCTCCTGACCTCGTGATCCACCTGCCTCGGCCTCCCAAAGTGCTGGGATAACAGACGTGAGCCACCATGCCTCACATTTTTTTTTTTTTTTCCAGTTTCTGTCTATTATTGTTGTATACTTGCATTTGAGTTTAGTCATAGAAAATAATTCATAAAATTTCAGTTTTAAAAAATTTGGTAAGACTTCTTTTTTGGCCTAAGAGGTGGTCTATCAAGAAATATGTTGTATGAGCTATTGAGAAGGGTGTGTATCCTGATGTTGAGGAGTGCTCTCTATACCTCTGTCAGAAATATTTGTTTTATACCACCTTTAAGTAGTCTGTTTCCTTATTAATATTCTGTTTTGATTTTTTTAAAATTATACTTTAAATTCTGGGGTACATGTGCAGAGCGTACAGGTTTGTTACATAGGTATGCACGTGCTCTGGTGGTTTGCTGTACCTATCAACCTGTTATCTACATTAGGTATTTCTCCTAATGTTATTCATCCACTAGCCTCCCACCCCACCACAGGCCCTGGTGTGTGATGTTCCCCTTCCTGTGTCCCTGTGTTGTCGTTGTTCAACTCCCACTTATGAGTGAGAACATGCTGTGTTTGGTTTTCTGTTCTTGTGTTAGTTTGCTGAGAATGATGGTTTCCAGCTTTATCCATGTCTCTGCAAAGGACATGAACTCATCCTTTTTTATGGCTGCACACTGTTGCGTGGTGTGTATGTGCCACATTTTCTTTATCCAGTCTATTACTAATGGGCATTTGAGTGGGTTCCAAATCTTTGCTATTGTGAATAGTGCTGCAATAAACGTGTGTGTGCATGTGTCTTTATAGTAGAATGATTTATAATTTTTTGGGTATATACCCAGTAATAGAATTGCTGAGTCAAATGGTATTTCTAGTTCTGGATCCTTGAGGAATTGCCACATTGTCTTCCACAATCGCTGAACTAATTTACACTCCAACCAACAGTGTAAAAGCATTCCTACTTCTCCACATCTTCTCGAGCATCTGTTATTTCCTGACTTTTTAATGATCACCATTCTAACTGGGATGAAATGGTATCTCATTGTGGTTTTCATTTGCATTTCTCTAATGACCCGTGATGATGAGCTTTTTTTCATATGTTTGTTGGCCACATAAATATCTTTTTTTGAGAAGTATCTGTTCATATCCTTTGCCCACTTTTTGATTTTTTTTTTTTTCTTGTAAATTTGTTTAAGTTCTTTATAGATCCTGGATATTAGCCCTTTGTCAGATGGATATATTGGAAAATTTTTCTCCCATTCTGTAGGTTGCCTATTCACTCTGATAGTTTCTTTTGCTGTGCAGAAGCTCTTTAGTTTAATTAGGTCCCATTGGTCAATTTGGCTTTTGTTGCCATTGCTTTTGGTGTTTTAGTTATGAAGTCTTTGCCCATGCCTGTGTCCTGAATGGCGTTGTCTAGGTTTTCTTTTAGGGTTTTTATGGTTTGAGGTGTTACATTTAAGTCTGTAATCTATCTTGAGTTAATTTTTCTGTAAGGTATAAGGAAGGGGTCCAGTTTCAGGTTTCTGAATATGGCTAGCCAGTTTTTTCAACATGATTTATTAAATAGGGAATTCTTTCCCCATTGCTTGTTTTTTTCAGGTTTGTCAAAGATCAGATGGTTGTAGATGTGTGATGTTATTTCTGAGGCCTCTGTTCTGTTCCATTGATCTGTATATCTGTTTTGATACCAGTACCATACTGTTTTGGTTACTGTAGCCTTGTAATATAGTTTGAAGTCAGGTAGCATGACGCCTCCAGCTTTGTTCTTTTTGCTTAGGATTGTCTTGGCTATATGAGCTTTTTTTCTGGTTCCATATTAAATTTAGTTTTTTCAAAATCTGTGAAGAAAGTTAATGGTAGCTTGATGGGGATAGCATTGAATCTATAAATCACTTGGGGCAGTATGGCCATTTTCACGATATCAGTTCTTCCTATCCATGAGCATGGAATGTTCTTCCATTTGTTTGTGTCCTCTCTTACTTTCTTGAGCAGTGGTTTGTAGTTGACCCTGAAGAGGTCCTTCACATCCTTTGGTAG